TCCTTAGACACTGACCTTCAAGTGTTTTGCTGTGAGAAAAAATAACCTTGCTGAGAAAAAATAACCTTGCTGAGAAAAATTCAGCCTGCAGGGAGGCTGCCCTGTGGAGCCAGGCCATCGGGAGGGCAGCCACAACCCTGCTTCAGCAGCAAAGTGCAGACTGAGCTCCCTGCAAAGGCACAGCCCAGTGCTGGGGACACTGCAGGGGCAGCTTCCTCCGCTGTGTTTTGTTTCTTAGGGATGCCCACACTGCCATGGAGGTCCTCACTTTCCCATCTTCAGCAGGCCCTGACATTCCTAGTTCAGTGGCCTCCTGCAAAAGACGTAAATGCATCCCATTTTCTCTGCCACTGGGAAAAGTGTCTCACCATATGCAGAGGAGAAAATAGGAACAAACCAAGTGAATCTGCTTTTTTATCCAAGTACTCCCTTATTCAAATAAAGTCATTTCTTTAGGGGAGACAAAGTCAAGCAATCTGAAATGGTGCACATCTTCTGTCTCTGTAGACAAGATTTCTGAATTCTACACAGGAAAGGAGATAACTCATACTTATAAAGCTAGTCCTCTTGATACCAGATGTTGCACTAAAATTCTATATTCACAAACTTTTTGGCAATTCAAAAGTAATAAGCAGTTTACTACATATGCATGCAAATGCTTAAAAAGCTGCCTGACATTCTTACTCCAGAGTATTCAATGTTAGCAGAAAATTACTCCTTTAAATCCCACACAAACCCACTAGCTCCAAACACGAGGGTGCCTTAGTATCTCTCAGGCTGCAGCCTGGGATGCAGCTCTCAGGCAAGCTCACCACCCCATGGAGATCAGATAGGGACTTCAGCAGTCACTCAGCGCCTCAAGCACTCCAGACAACAAGCTGGTGCCTGTTAAAGCAGGATATTGCTATTGCATAAAGAAAGAATCCCTATCCTACAGGGAACAAAACAGATCTGGTGGCTAAAAAAAAGCAAACAGACTTTTCAGAACATAAAGTAGGATACAAGGGCGCATACTGTGATGTAGCTTCAATTGCAGACTACTTGGGTGCATGTCATTTCTTCCCAGCTATATCCACTATTAAAATGCATCCCCAAACCAGTTAAAGAGTTTTTTGGGTTTTTTTTTTTAATTCATACTCCAAAGCAGTTCTAGCTGCTTATATGGCACCTAACTTTCTCTGCTTGGGTTTGTTTTGTGAAAATATAAAAGCAGGGATTTAATTTTTATACATAAAATCAGCCTTAAAAAGGGGGAAGAAAAAGAAAAAAAAAAAAAACCCAAAAACATAAGCAGAAAAACACCATAAGAAAGTATTACCATATTTGTGTAAGTAATTCCTCTGCTCCTCACTGAAGTCACAGATACAATGCCCTGCTTGTAAATCACCCCCCAAAGTCAGGCAGCACTCAGGAGAGGGATGGCAGGAGTCACTAAGAGCTGTCTGTGTACAGCAAATGCTTCTGCCTTGCCAGAGCAGCCCAGCCCCATGAGAACCCTCTGATGGATATTACCATTTAGCATCATCAAAAATTAAAAATATTACAAATCTCTACACTCCAAAAATCAAATAAGCATTGCTTTGAAAGATAATGCACCGCTCTGCCAGCTGCATCTCGGAATCTATCAGATCTATTTCATCAACAGTCCCTTTGAGTCACTTCACAAAATCAAAATATTTTCTTCATAAGTGAATGCTGTATGCTTTTGGGTTGGATTTTCTCAGTCATGTTTTTCCCTTCTCCAAACCCATGAAGCCAAGTTTTGTTCCCTGATGCCTGTGTATCCCCTCTGGCTGTGGCCAGGCTCGTCAGGTGCATGAGCTGTGCCAGGCTGCTCCACTGCTGCAGTCTGGGCCCAGAACAGTGGGAGACATGAGAGCTCCACTTAGACAATTACTATAATTAGGGGACAATACTGAAAGCCAAATCCCTGCTGGTTGTAAGGCAAATCATATAATACACACACACACAGAGCAAGGTGTTTAAAATTGCTGAGTGTGAAAAACGCTAGGAGCTGTGTACTTATTGGCAAACCTTGCCATTGTCAGCAAGAACAAAACAAAAATTTCTGTTTACACTGGCTAATAAGAAGCCTCTTGTTTAACAGATGGAAAACAAACCTGATTACATCCTGTGCGAGTACAGGTTGTAAGACAAGCATGCTTAGCAGGGATTCAAACTCTTAAAGGATCAAGGAATGGCCGTGGCCAAGTGCCCTTGCTTTTCACCAGTGGGATCCCTGCACATTAACTCAGATTAGGTTTGGACTGAAATGAATTCACTGCTTTTATCCTTGTCCAACTGTGCAAATAGCTCAGCGTGACTCCGGACCTCAACGCTCGCACAGAGCAGGCCAAGTAGAATATCTGTAACGTGTTCTAAGTGGGAAAATATTTTGGTTTTCTTCAGTAAGAAACAGCATAGCACAAGTGATGACTGAAGAAAACCTGAACTGAGGAGTGAGCTCCAAGTGCTGCTGTGAGCATAGCTCCAGGAATGCCTGATTTATAACTGCCACAGGGAGAAAACAAGAGTTCTCTTTGGAGCTGCAGGACCCAAGAGGCAGCCCCAGTGAAAACTTCATTACAGCAGGCAAAATTTGAGTATTTTCCAATGTCACAGATGGCAAAATTTTCACTCTTTGGTGCAGTTCTGGGCAATTAAATCAAATTCAGTCCAAAAAGTAGCAAACCCACAGGGTGCCCTGGCAAATACAAGGATTGGCTGCAACCAAAGAAAAACTCATCTCTGCCTGATAACTGTCATACATGCCTAGGTTAAAGTTTCCCTGCACATATTTATCCTGTTTATGATATTTACATGGGGAAAGGAATGATCTAAAAATTTAAGATAAGAATCAAGTTCATTATAAGAATAAAATTCCCATGAAGACAATGGAAGTCTATCAGATTCAAGGCTAAGCAAGTAAAAGGGTTGGATTTATCCTTATGCAGCCACATTTCATTCCCAATAAATCTGAACTCACGTACCATTTCTTGATGGTACCAGTAGTTCTGAACATTCCAGCTCCCCTGTCTCCAAAAGCATGAAACTAGCACAGTACTTGCTACTTTTGCAAGTAGCAAAAGATGCTACTTGCAGGGTGGACACATTACAGCTGCTAGGAACAGCAGAGGGACAGAGAGCATTGGTTACATGACCAGGTACAGTCTGCCTGCATGGGGAAAAACCCACATGAGGCTCTTTTGCCTCAAGGTTAAAAAGAATACTAATTTATTTTTCATTTATCTCTTTCATTAAAGGAAAAATAATTCCTTGAAATGAAGCAGCTTTCAGATGCCTTTCTGGACGCCCAGCCTGGGCAGTGGCGTTTCCCAGCCAGTGTCTGTTGTGTCAGTGCACCACAGAGGATGGGGCTTTGCTCTCAGACAGGGCAGGGCCCAGCTCCCTCCACATCCCATGGCTGCCTGGAGGCACCAGCGTCCTTCTACAACATCCCAGCCTCCCAGGGGAGCTCAGTGCTGGCTCCACATTTTGGGTTTTACGGTCCAGGTCCCAAATCCCTTCAAGTCATGCCCACAGTCTGCTTCAGATCAGGTTCAGCAGCCTCATTGTGCAGAGATTTAAGAGCACATTTACCCCTAAATACATGCACAGTCACACAGAGGTCAAACATCAAGTTGGGCACATTCATGAGGCTTTTGAGAAGCCAGTAAAAGCACGTGGTTTGTAAATACTCGGCATTATTAGACACAATACTTAACAACACTTTTTCTCCCAACTTGCTACTGTGCCAGCATCATATAATCCATGCACCATTATGACTCAAAATTTAAGACTGGGAGTCCACAATTTCTTTTGTTGCAGGCATTATAAAGCCATTCAGCATCCCTGTGACACTTGCAGGATCCCAGCCCTCCTGCTGGAGCTTTGCTCTGGAACTGCATGCATGATGGAGCAGATTTAAAGAAGGGTTTATGTAGTACCTTGTCACCCAATAAACAGAGAAGCATAAAGGAAACAAACCCCTTAAAAACAAATGTAAAAATTATTAGGCTATGCTAATTATGGAATTAAAGAAAGAGACAGCCTGCTCTTAATCGTATGGGTACACATTAGGAGCTGCATTGTTGTATGGCAGCCCCTTATTAAACCATCACATATAAGAATTGATTAAATTAACTTGGGGGAAGTCACAGCTTGCTGTAGCTACTGTAGCTACTAAACTGCAAGGGAAGAACATAGAACCACATCCCCACATGGTAAATTAAGCTGTTTCTGTTAACCTGCAGAGGAGGAGAAGAGCAGTGCTGCTGTCCCACCCTGTGCCACCAGCATGGCAGGGCCCAGGCCAGCGCACGCAGGAAGGGACATGTCCCTCGCTCCCACCCCACTGCAGGAACACCCAGCACCACATCAATGGGGATGAGTAATTAAAATGGAATTTCGTCTTCCAGCACGATGTGACAGCTCACGCAGGAAAGGAGCATCTGCTACACCGGTGGATGTGTTTTTCCCTACCTGCAGTGGATGCCAAGCCTGGAAGGGCCTGAGCTGTGCATGCTGCCTCCATCCTAACAGTGCCAGAGCTGGGGACATCCTCCTGCTCCTACAGCAGCCAACAGTGATGTCCCCCACACCCCCATACACACACTCCAAAATGTGGGCAGGAAGAAAAGGTGAATCAGTGCAAGCCTTTGATGGAGAGTGATGGGGGGAGGCATTATTCTGTAATGTCATTGCAATAGTGCAAAAGCCCGTTTGTGACAAAAATTCATAGGTGAAATGCCATGAGAAAGGTGATTATTCAACCATGCACTGTACCCAACAAAACAAACTGCAACACACCTCTATTCTCCCTAAGTCATCTGAGAAACAAGCTGGGATCTGTTTCTGCTGGAATCACTATAAATATTCCCCAGAGACACAACCCTGCATTGGTCACTGGTGATGAGTCAGCTCCACTCCATTTTCTGAAAATTTTGTTACTCTTTTTTTTATTTTGCAAATACCTAAAGCTTGAATGAGTCAAAGACTTTCCTCCCTCCAGCAAGAGTTGTTTCCAGCAAGGGCTGTGACAAGGCAGAATCGAGGCAGCTGCTGCTGTGGCCCCACAGTGCTCAGTACAGGAGCGGAAAGCAGAGACATGGGGATTTTTAAACTGACATTATTCCCCACAAGTACAAACCTATATTCTGAGAATAAGCAGAATGAAATGGAAGAAGAAATCAGTTTGCCTGCTTGGCTTGAGGTTTTGGTACATATCAGAATGAATTTGCCAAGCTGCAAGAAGGATGCCGGGGGTGCGGAGGAGCGAGGTGAAAGGGACGCCAGAGCCAAGACGGTGCTAAACGCGGCGAGGCACGGCCACCTTCGACCTTTGCTTCCCGGGAAGGAGCAGAACGATCCCGCATGCTGAAGCGCTCGGCAGGAGCCGCACGCCCGCCGTGGCCCAGTGACCTTTCTCCTCCCGTCACGGGGCCAGCTCCCGGTTCGCTGAGCTCGGCCTCCGCGCTGCGGCCGGCGGCATCCCGGGATGCGGCGCCGGGACCCCGCCGCGCCCGCCGTCCCGCCTCCCGCGATGTCCCGGCCACCCGCGCCTCCCCAGCGGGCCCCCGTGTCGCAATGCCCGGCATTACGTAAGGACACAGTTTTATCCCCGTTCCGCCGGGCCGCGGGTGGGCACACCCGCCCGGGGCGCTGCGGGCTGCCCCCGCTCCCACGCATGCCCCGTCTCCGGGTCCCGCCGCCCGCACCGCCCGGGACCCCCGCCCGGGACAGCCCTACCTGCCCCCGCCGCGGCGGCAGCTGCGCTCCGCTCCGCCTCGGCCTCCTCCGGCGGCGGCTGCCCCTGCCCGGTGCCTC